AATCTTCGCTGGATGGCACTTCCTCGTCAAGGGCTCAGAACAATGCCATGGGAAAACAAACTAGGCTCACAAGCACAAGCACTGCTTTTCCGGCGTATGTAATGGTCTTCCCGTGCTCATTTTGCTTATACTCTTGCCAGTCCAGATCACTTATTCCTATCTTCGCCACCCTTTGGCCTCAAGCATTTTCCAAGATAAAATAGAGGCCTGTAGTTCATCAACATCCAAGGCGTGGAGTGACCACAACGCAACTTGTGATGAGATGAGTTAGTGACCTGGTATACTTTTTTGTGTTATGCCATCTGCTCTTTGGAAACTTTTGAGAAAGCTTGCTCTCAGCCGATTGAGTTTGAGCTTAGTCAAGGCTCTCACAGGTTTATTGGATCTCTGGTGCAACCCTGGAGTTTTGTTTGCGGGTGAGTAAGCTTTCACGGTTTCAGAGCAATATATTATATTATTGCCAAGAAAAGGCATCAAAACTTGGAGCTCCAGAGTCTCACGCCCCGAGGATTTGAAAGGATCCAAACCTATGGACCTCCAGCTTGGACAACCAAGTGAAGAATAGATTCCCGGGACCATGGTGCCTGGATCAAATCAAACTCGAGCTCAGACAAGCCATCTTCCAGAACAATATCTCAAACGGATACTTTGTTTCTCAAAAATAGCTTCTGCATCAGCTGCTTGCTCAGATTGAGATGCAGAGTCCATCCAACCCGTTTTGTTTGCCATGGCCTCGCCAGAGCATGGAGAAAGTGAGAGTTTCATTCCATCGAGAAGAGAATGGTTTCTTTCTTGAGCTTGACAGCAGCAACGCGCTGCGCGCCATGCGCCCACAAAACGAAAATCTGTTGCGCCGCTGTTTACATTATGGTATACGTTAAGAAGCAATTAGTGTACACTTTGGACGGGATCCTGATGGCCGGATATCTGGCTAGAATAAAAAAATATATTGGCAAGGTCACAGGTTCGAACCCACAGCCAGAGACCCAATCAAATTTTTTTGTATGAACGAGGGATTTCTCTTCTCCGCAAAGTCGCGGAGCTAAATCTTCTCTCGTGCCGATCCCCCAGGCGCGACGCCACGAATGATCCACGCCGCCGCGCCGGGTTCAGGCTCTTGGATCGCGCGATATTCTTGGATTTCGCTGGCAAATGTGAGCAGCAGGAACAGGGCATTCGATCGATGCGGCGTCAGTCTTGTTCGATTAGGAGTTCCGTGAACGTCTCCTGGAACGCGATGATCACCGCGTATGTGGCGGCATCCCGCATCCGAGAAGAAATCTTTGATTTCATGCCGGATGAAGACGGTATTGATTCGGCAGTAGCTGCTCTCCAGGATCCGCGCGTGGATCCTCTGGCCTCGCAGCCCCTGGATGTCGTCCACGTGGGCAGTCAGATGGATTCCAAATCTTAAATCCAATAAGAGGAGCTGAAACAATATTTTGTTATCTCCCAGTGTTCATGGCTTTGTGGTTATAGCATGCACACTGTAATGTTCTATTGTGAAGGGTTGCTGGGTTTGATTCTCATCCGCCTCGACTTTCAATTAAGAATATAATACGGTGTTAGGGTCGCCCCCTAACATGAACACTACTTTATTATTTTCACCTAAGATTAACTGTCGACATTATTACGGACTTAAACAAACAGATCATTAAAAAGTATTAACTTAGGTGCATCTCCACTGTAGTCATGCAATCAAATTTTGTGGAAGGGAAGATATATATTTGATTTGCACACAAACAGCACAAACATGCCATTGAGCTTACCAATTCGATCATATATACCAGTTGTCACTTCAGCATAATCTATCAATCACACACAATGTTGTGCCATTGAATTCTCGATGACCCTGCCAGCATATACAAGCCTTCCTCACCATTTGAACAAGAAAGACGCTAGACAACAAGCTAGAAATAGTGAATGAGAATGAACTTTTAAACGCAGTTTATATTAGTGGTAACTACAAACAAATAAAAGGTTAAGAGCGATACATCACAGCCGTTGGATTAAAGGATATCTTAGAATATACCATCCAAACCGTTAGATTTTAGTGCGGCTACGGTGAGAGAGACTCAGGTATTCGTCTTCCTCTGTGCAGCGGAAAGCTGCCATCTCTCGATGTTTGGGTGGCTTGAATCCCTCAGAGCTCTCCATCCGGTTGCACCCAGACAAAGGCGACGTTTTCCATCCCCTCTCTCTCAACTACACAACGGGCCTGTCGTGCCGGACTTGGGACGAGCTGGTCCAGGAGCTCAGCTGCATCTATTCTGACGCAATTGCTTCGCTCCCTGACACATCCCTTCTGGACGCCAAGACGCGGCAAAATGCGGCGATCATCCAAGGCATCCAGCCGCCCAAGGACGAAAGGGAGCCGGCTTGTCTTCAATTATGTAATATTTGGTTTGAAAATTGGTGTTCGTCCAGGATTCCTTTGGATAGATTCCATTCCACTCCCATCACGTTGCTATATTCCTTGGAGGGCCTTCAAGATCTTGAGATCGACTGGCAAAAGATCCTCAAGCTTCAGTCCAAAGATGGATCCATTTTTAACTCGCCCTCGTCAACCGCATGTGTTTACTTGAAGACCAAGGACAAGAAGTCGTTGCAATACTTACAAAAAACTATGAAACATCAAAACTATGCTGGTAAACCGGCTGTCTTCTTCAATCCTCTGTACTAATCGACTATGCTGTGCAGTTTCTTGCCATTACCCTATTGATCTCTTCGAAAGTTTACGGGTGGTCGACACCATTGAGCGCTTGGGCATTGATCTCTTCTTCAGAGATGAAATCAAAGCCGTCCTTGACAACCTGTATAGGTACAATGCTGCTATACTTTTAGTACTTACTTTGGGTTTGCACCAGCTTTTGGACAAACGAAGGAATTGGATGGGGATCTACGTGCATAGTCAATGACATCGAGGACACAGCAATGGCCTTCCGTACCCTTCGGATGCATGGGTATAGTGTATCTCCAGGTACAAAAACGTTTTGTGATGGAAGAATCTAAATCTCGGAACTACGCACAGATGCATTCAACCAGTTCTGGCTGCCAGGAGACAAGTTTTGTTGCTTTGTTGGTGAATTGTCACATGAGGTCTCTGCAATGCTCAACTTGTATCGGGCTTCCCAGGTTGATTTTCCGAATGAGGAGATTCTTACAAAGACTTTCAAGTACTCCCACGATTATTTACTTAATGTTGAGAGCTCTCACACATCGGCAACCAAGAAAAACCTCATGGGAGAGGTAATGAGATCTAGATAGCTTGATTGTCCTCGTCGCCACCTTTGATCTGTTCGAACAGTAGAAAAAACAGAATAAAAAAAAGATTCAAGCCAAAGTTAGATCGTACCCAAGGTGGATAGAGATTTTTTATGGAACGCTTTGTGGAGTTCTTGATCATGAGCTCCAATTCCAATTCCTCATCCTCCCTGCTCCACAGTGGTGGTCTTCCATTTGCATCGCGATTGTCAAATTCCATCCGCTCCAGTGCCTATTATTCCAGATGTATCTATTATCTCTACAGGTCACATTTGAGCTAGCAAATCCATTTCATGACTGCTTGCCAAGGATTTACAACAATGCATATATCAAGCACTATAGCATTGATGATCCTTGGATTGCTAAGACTATTTATCGGTAAGTGACATTCATACTAACCTTTATAACTTCTCTCTCTTACATCTCTTTTGTTAAAAGATTGCCTCTTGTGAATAAGAAAGTGCTTCTAGAACTTGCAAATCGGTATGCTCAACAATGTCAATCCTATCAACCTTCTGAGCTGAAAATATTGGTGAAGTAAGTGAAAAAATAGTTTTATTAAACAAACAGTAATTCATTGGTGTGTTTTTATTTAGATGGTGGCATTCATCGCACTTTGAAGATATCCCTTCTACAAGATTTAAAGCTAATATTAATATGCTCCCCTATATTTACTATGTTATTTGTGCAACTTTCCATGAGCAAGAATTTGGCCCGTTGAGACTTTTTTTTACCAAAACTTGCTGCATGAATACTTTATTTGATGATATTTTGGATAGCGCAAAAAGTATTACAGAGCTTGATAGTCTCCAAAATATGATTGAAAGGTTATATACATCAATTTTTAAAAGTTAAAATAACACTTTCTTTTTTGTTTCCATCCAGCTGGGATACATCTTTTTTATCACAAAAAGAATATAAGATTATCTTTCAAGAATTTTATAATACCATTCTTGTTATGACTAAAATGGCTTCTAAAATAAATGAAAATCTATCTCCGGAATTCATCCACAAATACCTTTTAGCAATTGTAAGTATTTTCTATTTATTTTTGCCACGGCTTAATAGGGTTGTTCACATTAATCTTTACAGTATGCTAAGCTTATAAAATCTGGGATTACTGATGCTCGTTGGAAAATTCAAGGTTTTGAGGAGTATATGGAAAATGCTGAAGTTAGCATCTCCATTGCAACTCACCTACTTATGGGCATATTATTTTGTGGTGACCCTTTAACAGAAGATTTATTAAACATCATTTGTGATGGCAGGCTTCTTAAACTTGGTAGTATCATCTCTAGGATTTGCAACGACATCCAAACATATAAGGTTCCTTCTCTTCCTATATTTGGCTTTTATTATTTTTAATCTCTTTCTTTCTTTTTAGGTTGAGATGAAACTGGGGCAATCGTTTCTTGTTATATGAAAGACCACCCAGGTGCAACTGAAGAAGATGCACTAGCATACTTACAAAGTTTGCTTGAGAAAACCAAAAAGCAACTCAACGAAATCTATTTCACTGAAAAAAATCTACCCAAAAATATCAAAAGGTTTAACTTTGATATAGTACGGATGATGCTGTTCACCTACAACAAAACAAAGCAGATAGATCTCTTTAGAAACCCAGATAAAGAGCTTCAAAGCATGATTGAATTTTGTTTGAAAACTTAACATACTATAAAGTTATAACTAATGGTTAAAAAAACATTTAAAGAAAAAACAAAAAGGTAAAGGTTAACTAGCCCTTTGTTTTTCTTTAGAGAACCTTCAACATCCACATCAGAAGGATAACACAAGCAACAAGTAGTGAAACGTTTCAGATCCTACAGTTCTATCCTTCTGCTGTGCGGGCGGCCACAAGATCTTCCTGCCAGCCAAAACTGAGAACTCAGGAAGGAGAAAAACGCAAGAAGAGAATACCTTTTGTGTTGAAGGCTCGATAACGTGGTCGACCTCCTGAGCACTGCTCAAATAAATACGCCATTACGACAAGTCCGTTCTTCCGCATGGATACGTGCTGCTTTTCCACTGCACCTTAAAGGTACGAGCATGGTAAAGTCCTGGATTTGCCACAAGAAACCCCCAACACAGGCAAATTTGTCAGCATTTCCATCTGATAATATTGGAAATCGAATTCCACCTTGTGAAACAAACAAAAAGTCAGCAACTTCCTGAGACTCCATAACACTCGTCAAGCTCTGTAAATTTTTTACGCGAGTTCCGTTCAACCTTCCTGCGTTTAAAGAACTCTCATATGTGTGCCGCTTGCTAGTTGTAACCCACCAGTAACCAAGAAATCATATCAAGTGAGAGAACTAGAAAAAGGAAAAAACCTTACAGATTGGTGGCACCAAGTGGCGCCGTCCTGGCCAAGGTGGCTCCTCTTGAAGCAGCTGACATTCAAGGCCATCACACACCGCCACGGCCACTGTCTCCTCAATTCAGCCTTTGGCTCCAAATGTTGGCGGTGATGGTCCAGGACACAGTTATCTTGCTTGGTGGACAAGATCTCGACGTCATCGTCGCAACAGCATCCGCATTGACATCTGGAATTACAACAAATGAACTCGAGGACATGCAAGGTTTTGGTGTTCAGATTGACACAAAGCAATATTAGAAATGGTAACTAAACGGAACAGAAGTGAGACGTATGGTCGAAATATAGTTACAATCTTACCTCCAATGGATGCTGCTCCTAGGCCTTCACATTATCCTGACAGGCAAGTGTTAGTGTGAAATACATGGAAAGCTAAGATGAGATGAGATGGAGGATCGCCAGGAAACAGGATACAAGTTACCAGAGCTTATCCATGGCAGCTGGCTGGAAGGCTCTTTTGGAGTAGAGGGGTTGATGCAAACGGTCAGACAGGGGATAGATATATATCGTGCAGGAATTAACAGGTAATGGCCTCGGGAGAAAAAAAGAGCAGGAAATAAAAAGCATTCTTGCGAGTTTTTCGCGGGGAAGTTCCTGCAGAAGTTTCAAAAGTGCATTGATATAGCTCGCGAGAAACAGCATACCTCCATCACGTCTTACTTGCTACATCTCCAAGTTGGAAAATTTCTAAGACCCGTGTCCGGCCGGCTACTTTCGACCGCCACCAAGCGATGCTAGTGAATGGCAAGACTGGGCTGTTGCGAGCCACTGCTCTAGCCTGGGAATGCCAAGTGGTCAGATCATATTTCAACCAAAGAGAGGAGCTTACCGCACTTGCTTTTGTTGGGGAAACATATGTTCCAGGCCATGCATGGACTGGAAGGCCAGTGAGATGCGATTGTCCACGAGAAATCTCAGAGCAATCATTCTCGAAAGGCACAAAGCCAGTTTGAAAGAGAAGAAGAAAAGAGAAAAACACTGACCATCATCCACTGTTGTTTGAGAGTCGAGCACAAAAGAGATCCTTCTTTGGCGTCACGAAATCGCAATCGTCGTGCTTCTTCTACACACAAATCAAACATCGCAATCGCGAGAAAGAAATGGGGCCACCATACGGTGGCTGGATTCTCCGACGGCAAGCTGTGCGGCATTGTGGGAGCCGCTCCCACCGCTCATTGCTCCGCCGCAAGCGATTCGAGGCGCTGTAATCCTAATCCAAATCCTGGAGCTGCGCATTCCTTCTGGCGCCAATGGATCTCACCTCGCAGAAGAAGTTCAAATATTTAATTATTATTAAGAAAATTAAAATAATAAGCAATATACCATATACTGGGAATAAAGTGGTATATTCTCTAGTATTCAAAGCTCGCTTTTGCGTAGCTAGAAGAGGAGGACCACGCATTCCTCGCTTCCACAGCACCGCGCATTTTGAGAGCGTTTGATGTCCAGCAGCGCGGAGAGGACGAGGATCGACCGCTTCCGCGCCCGCTGCCGAGGTCTCGTCTCCTCTGGGTGTCGCTGCTCGTTCTCCTGGCCGCGATCTCGGCTGGAGGAATCGCGCCTCTCTTCCGTGCACCCGGCATTGGATTCCACACCGCTGGATCGGCCCGGGATGGAGCAGCAATGGCGCTGGGGTTTCACTTCCAGGCGCCCCCAAACAGCAGCATCTGGATGATCAGTCCAAACGCCCCGGTGTTCTACCTACCGCGGATTCTACCATCTCTTCTACCGATTCACCACTCCATCGTCATCCACGAGCAAGAACCAGAGCTCCTGGGGCCACGCCATCGCCAAGGACCTCCTCCACTGGACGCATCTCCCCACGGCGCTGGATCCCGGGCCAGAGAGGTACGACGAGCAAGGAATTCTTGGCGGATCCATGACGCTTCTCGTCCAGGGCCCCGTGATCCTCTACACTGGAATCTCCAGCGATGGCGCCACCACACAGAATGCCGCTGTCCCGGTCGATCCAGGCGACTCCATGCTCAAGCACTGGAAGAAGATCGCCCAAAACCCTCTCATTCCAGCAGGAGGAAGGGTGGCGATGAGAGATCCAAGCAGCGCGTGGAGGGATTCTTCTTGGCGGATCCTTCTTGGCGGCGAGAATGCCAGCGATGGCGTTGGATTCGTCTACTGGAGCAACGATTTCCTGGACGGGGAGTGGAAGAGGCTGGAGACACCACTGCTGCGAATGCCAGGAGCTGGGATTTTGGAATCTCCAGATTTCTTCCAGGTTCCATCGGCAGGATTTGCATCTCGTTGCTTTTAGCAAGGCCAGACTTTTTCGTGGAGTGGCAGCGAGCTCGTTCTTGAGCTGGTGAAAGTCCTCCTCACACTCATGGTGGCGGGTATCAGAGGTAAGCTTTTGGAGTGCTTACGTTCTCCCGTTCTGGACGTGCTGCCTTAGGAGATCAAGCAGAAGTTACAGGAAACGGTTTCTACGTCCAAAGTTCTGGAAAAAGACCTGTTGGAGCTCATGGCGATCACAGGTGATCCTTTCCTCGTCTTGACACGTCGAAGCGGTGGTCACGATAATGTACTGCGAAGTGTTGGCATCGAGCCTTCTCCCGGAGTTTTCAGCTCGAAAGGTTTGCAAGCCACGAGCTGTGAGCGGACCGGGAACTGGTCGAAAAAAGACGAGGCACTGGTTGAGTTGCGAGCAAGTATGAAAGGAAAGAAGAAGGAAAACGAGTACCGAAGCGAAGCGAAGTCAGTGTTTAGCTCACTCGGCTTGAAAGACGACAACTTTTACGTTCGAGCCTTCCTCACCACGGCGTGCCCGCTCAAGGCATGAGTTTTATATCCTTTTTCTTTTCGATTCTTTTGAGAACTCTTTCTTTCCTGCAGGCCTCCGCGGACGATTTTCTACTCGACTTGAGCTCCGCGATAGAAATAATGAAAACGGGACTCAGCATCAGGCCAAAGCAAGAAAAAGCCCGGTGTTTGCTTCAAAACATGATCCTGTTCCAAGGCAAGCTCGAGTGCATGACAACGCTTCTAAATCCCAGGGACGCCAGACACGAGCTCCTCGACTTGGCTGCTCTGCAAAAATCAGTCCAAGCACTGCGAGAGAAGCTTGAGAAAGGGAAGGAACTTCTGCGCGACCACGTCAAAAGGCTGCTAACCAATCGCTGGGACTTGCGAGAGTGGCAATAAGCTTGATCTCATGTAGATAGTACCATAGAGCGAACTACGTAAAATAGAGAAAACGTTAACAGCAAACAACTATAAGCAACAGAAACCTTAGCGATACTTGAAAAAAATATTAACTTAGCCACAGTTAAAATCACAACTTTTTACCTTTCGTTCTATTGATAATTACAGCACGATTCATTCCCAAGTGGTGTGTTTGACTCCTTAGATGAATAATTCTCGTAAATATCTGATACACTCTGTTTTGGTCCCACTAGGATTTCGTAGCTGCCATATAAACATAGCTTCTTTCTGTAAAACAACCATTAGATAATATCTTGTGAATGGAAGGTTCAAAGAATTACCAGCTCACCCACTCTCGGACCACTAACAATGTGAAATTCGAGTTTGAGATCGTCCCCCGTGAGCAAAGGTTTTAAATTTAACAATCCTGAAAAAAGTATTGAATATTGAAAACGAAAAAAACTACTACTTACCAGATAAGCTGATGCTTTTTAGAATAGCGTTAAACACGTCTTTCTGCTGGACGCTAGGGGCTGGCACGGAGAGAAATAAAGCAGCAGCTGACAAGCTGAAGTCCCTGTCTCTGAAGGCTAGGCCGGCCTCTACTCGAAAACTTTCGTTGAAAAAACAAGGTAATCCTCCAGAAAGTGTACATTTGCTCAACTCATACCAATCTTGCACGGAGGTATTTCCAATTACTTTGTACAGTGCTTTCACCTGGTACACGAGACAGTTCAAGAGAGGAAGGAAATGTATAGAACGTGTACCTTTTTAAGCATTGCCTTTAATCCTATTCTCTCGGCTATCGAGCCCAAAACTGTATCGTTTTCTTTCTTGAATGGATAGAGAATCCACAAGAACAAGACGCCTTTCACCTTCCTCCGTTGAGTAAGTTAAAGAGTCAACACCAAAGTGTTCAGTGTAAGTACCTCAGCAATGTTGACAGACTCTAGAGTCTCGCAAACGACTTGAAAGTCCTTCACACTAGCAAAGATTTAAATGAGTTCGAGAAACGAAAAGGGGACTGAACTGACTACCTTTGCGCACTCACTGGCCTCGTAAAAATCAGAGGCCAATAACCAAGCTTGTGCAGCAGGCACATCGCCCGAGCAGGATTCTTTCCGAAGAGCATGGCTTGAATCTGAAAAACGAATGTAAGAGGCACACGAAAAATAAAAACCAAGAGATCGTATTCCACCTCCTGAGAAATGCGCTCCCTGGTGATCTTTGTTTCGAATGCAGCCTTCACAGAATCAGCAGATGCCACGCACTCCAGTTCCTCGTCCAGCTCAAAATTAAAGCGCGCCGCTGATCAGGAAAAAGAAAGGTAATTAGCTTCCAGATAGAATTCTAAGGTGAAGACAAGTAGTCACAGACCAAACCGAATGGATCTCAGGACACGCAATGGATCATCTAGAAAAGTAACGAGCGGAGGCAACGGAGTCCTGATCTTTCCAAGCTTGAGGTCCTTTACACCTGGACAACACAGTTGTGGAAAGAATGGAAAGATGAAATATACACAAACCTCGACCAGTGAAGTCCTCAACCTTGTCAGCGGCAACGTTGTAGAAGAGGCTGTTGATCGTGAGATCTCTCCGGTAAGCGTCTTCGGAAGGTGTTCCAAATTTCTAGCAAGAAGGAAAAGAGCGTAAGAACAAGAGGAAGTCGAGTGAAAATCAAAAGCGCCATAGTACCATTGATGTCGGGATCCTGGAATCTTTGGAGTACGTCTCGGATCGGAGATTAACAACATCAAGCTCTCCACCCAGGATCTCCAGCTTTGTCGTTTCTAAATGCTTGGATCGTTCTGGATTGCTACAACATGTAAATTCCAGTTAGAAAAATAACAAGCTCTAGACAACACAAACCTTTTGATAACTTTGTAAGAACACGGAGGATCGGTCTTCCTCAAGCACGGGACCACACGATCACAGAACTGCTGCCCAGTCATATCATCCAGCGCAATATCCAAATCGTGGCTCTCGACGCCAAGGAGCTGCGCAAATTGAATTGAGCTAGAACGATTCAGAGCTAAATGATCTAAAACACCAGACCTTATCGCGCACCCATCCGCCCGCCACTCTCACCTCGGTCTTCAAGTCGCATTCACGGATGGAGAGCGTCGAGAATCTTCGCTTCCTCGCGCGTGAGCACGATCGTCGTCATGAGCTCTAGAACCCTAAAGGAAGATTCTTTGAGATTTTAAACTCCCGCCAAAACTTTTTAGGGCTTTTGGCGTAGAAGCTAGAGTTTAATGCCATGAGATGTTCTCGTCACGCGCCTCAAATCCATGGTGAGATGCGCGTCAGGGTTCTCATAGGTTAAACTCGTGATTTTCACAGGGCGATTTGGTGTGTGACCCATCCTGCGCGGGTAAGATTGCATGGTTTCGCGGACGATCAAAACGATTCCCATTTTCCATCAGGTCCTTCACTCGGCAACAGTATGAGCTCTGCCCTGCCACATTCGAAAACTTGCTCAAGCTTATTGGAAATGGTGAGCTATGTTTTTTTTCTTTGGCGAAGTTTCTATGTTACGAATGACGCTATTGCCGAGACTCTGCTGAAGTTCCTCTTGCACCTTGCACGCTTGCTCTGTGGTTTCATCACGGCCTTACATCAGTGGTTTCGACGTGCTCGCTGACTTTTGCGACAGGCTTTCAGCGCGCGGTTTTTGCAGCAAGGTACTTATCAAAGGGCTTTGTTATCATTACATAAATCTCGGATTTTGGAGCCGCTTTGGAAAGCAGACAACCTCTCTCTCATGGTAATCTAGATCTGGTATGAGCCGTTTTGACACCCTTGTTGCAGGTTCGTTGTCCTCCTTCCGTGGAAAAGCTGGCGAAGTTACGGAGGCTGAAGATGCAGCTCATTGAAACAGGTGATAGATCTTGTTGCATATTTCGGGACTGACTATTGCTCAGCAACGGCGAAAGCAACAACCTTTCCAGGCCTGCCAACCGAGTGTCAACTACTTGTTGTATGTGGTTTGGCCTTTCAAGGTAACAAAACGGTGCTTCCTTTTGTAAACTAGGTGTTCTTTTTCTGGCAGTGGACTTGGATTCCCATAGGCTGGACAAGTCAATGAGGTGCTTAGATGTTTTGGTCCTGGCCAAGAACTTCATCGATATTTACTTGACTCTCAAGCTCTCCTGGTGCTTGGGATACCTCGAGAGGGGTCTCCATCTCATACAAGAGGCTTTTCAACGATGTGAGATCCGGAGCTTAGCCACCGTGAGCAACGAACTTCTCTACGTTAGCTGACGATTTTACGTTTTATAACATTCTAATATGCTTTTCTTTCTTGTAGAGCATTCTGGAGGTTCTGGAGCTGGAAGGACGAGCGTCCGTGTGAGTTGGGCAGCTCGATAGAGAGTTTAATTCCGAAGGTAAGGTATCTGCAGGGAGCGTGAGTGACAAATATTTACAACCTCGTCAATAGGTGCTGAAAACACTCTCGTTCAGCGACGTGATAAGTCTCTTCCGATGGCTTCTTCCCCTCAAGGAAACGTCTGGGCAGGTATGTAAAGAAGTCTTACGAGTCTTCTTCGTGTTTACGACTGTCCCTTGCTCGCAGCTTCGTCTTCTCCTGATGCTGCTCCGGACGCTTACCCGAGAAAAATGGCCTAGCGCGAGCGGTGACTGGAGTTCCGCTCTCTTTTGGGATGGAGCGATACGCTTCTATCGAACTGACGTTGACAAAGCGACCAAGGCATATGCTCATCAGAAGCTTCCGCGAGCAGACGATTATTGTTCACTAACTTCGTTGTCCAGGTAGAAATCGCCGTGAATGTGTACCTCGGGGTGGTTTGGATGGAAGGCAAGGGCAAGACTAGTTACACAGGTCTGCTTGCGCGTCCTGACAGGGAAGTGGAGGCTTAAGCCTCTTCGTGAGCAGGGCAAAACCGTTCGTCTCAGCGAGCCACTGTGGAAGCATGAGGTTGATATGGCGCGTTCCATTATCGAGTGCGCTCTTCGTGTCAATTAGGAACCGGAGAGAAACTCTCTCAGGTTTTGAATACAATGGAATATACGAGAATAGTTAAAGTGAGAATATACCTCCTGCACGACTAAGTTTCTGTAATTTTATACTAGGGCAAGCATGGAAGAACCTCCAAAGGTTGTATTGACAGAGGTTGAGGAGTTTTGCTCGGGTCTACAGCCGAATCACGAAGGTAAGTATGTGATTTGATTCCAATTTTCACCGTTCTTATATTTGATATCTACCAGCTACTACTAGAGATGAAGAAACCTACAGGATGGATTTCAAATCTTTGCTGCCAACAAAAGAGGATCATGTAGGGAAAGGATTGGCTAGCGCTCTTCAATGTTTTCGAGAGAATGGGAGCTTGAAGGAATCTAGAGGCGAATGGATTGGAAGAAGCAGGGACAAAAGGACACCAGAAAATGGTAAATTCGAATTCAACTTGGACCACCGCGATGAGCATGGCCAAACTGTAAGTTTTTGTTCTATTTACTTTCTGAATTTACTTATGTTTGATGCAGCTGACCCCCAAGGAAGCCTTCCGGCAGTTCTCGCATAAGTTCCACCATGTAAAACCGGGGAAAAGGAAGCAAGAGAAGAAGCTAAAGAAGCAAGAACAGGAGCTAAAGAAGAGGAAGAAAGAAGAACACCCTCTGGAGTTTATGGAGAGATTGAGAGGCATTCAAGTCAAGTCAGGAACAGCTTACATTAGAACTTGACAAGGAGTTAACTTGTCAGCTAAATGATTTCTAATAACGTTGTATGAGTGCAATTCTATTTGCACCAAGGGCTTTCATACACACGGCCGCAGTAGTGCTATGGTAAAACACCGCAATCCTTCTTCCACAAGCCATTTGGAAGAGGCCAAGAATTTCTTTGACTTGATAAAAGACACGCTCCATCTGGACGATGCAAAACGCAACTTCGGCTGTACATCTAGTTTCAGTTGCGTATGGAAGAGACAGACAACGGCATCTGGAATTACTGGCAAAGTTCGAATGCTTCTAGATGGAGTATGCAGAAAAAAGAATTGTGCACGGTTCAAAGAAGAATTCGTCGAGATAGCCCAACTCTGTGGACCGAGATCTTCCAATGGCTTTGACGGACCCCAAATTTTCATGCTTGCCCTTTGAAGGGACCACTGCTATTGAAATTAGACACGAGAGGAATGCGAGTCACCCACGGCCCGTCCAATCTATGAAAACAGCCGTGTGGAGGTAAAAAACACATAGCTAGCAATATAAAAATCTTTAGGCTCATGGGGATATTAAATTTTTCTTCAACGCTTCCCTGGATCCACAAACTCCAGCAGTGCTGGAAGAGCTTATATTCTAAGTTTCTGCAATGTCAAAGGTTCTGCTCATCAGCTTTCAACGCATTGGCAGTGGAAGCCTCCAGTTATTTGGAGGCACTAATCTCAAGAGCAACGCACAGCCGAATCGGTTTCGGAAAGGTAAGTTCATCAAACTAGCTTCGCGCTAAAACTGGCCTGCTATATTACTTATGCAGTTAGCTCCTGTGCTTCAAAGCCAGCTGAGGCTCTAGTAAGTCGAAGCACCATCTTTACAAGATTGACTAGAATGCTTTATTTCGTTTAAGTGGACCTTATTCAGTAAAGTGGGACATTAATTAGCATGTGTCCACATGCCATTTCCTAGTACTTAATTAATATTTATTAATATTTCTATCAGTTTTTTAATTTATTTTTTATATTTCACAATATTATAACACAAAATCATATGAAAAGTTTTTAATTTATAAATTATAAAGCTAAAACTTCAATTTTTTATTGTTGTTATAAAAATGGCATGTGGCCACACACCATAAGTGGGATAATGAAAAATTCCACTTTAACGAAATAAAGCATTAGAGCTGATTTGTTGACAGGAGAAGCGGGAAAAGGAGAAGCAGCAGCCATATCAAGGCATTCTCCACGTCCAGGCTGGCGATCGAATCGAGGAGCTTGATCACAGAGAAACGTCTCTGCTCGTCAAGGAAGTGAAGGGATGGCTGATGAAACTCGCGAGTGGCAAGGGGAAAATCAGTCCTTCGACTTACGACACCGCCTGGGTCGCCCGAATCCCGTCCGACTCCGACTCCTCTCTTCCCGAGTTCCCGGAGGCCCTGGAGTGGATCATCAACAGTCAACTTCCGGATGGATCATGGGATGATGATTGTCACTTGCAACTCTATGACAGAGTGTTATCCACGCTCTCTTGCCTGATCACGCTCAAGCTCTGGGACATCGGGCACAACAGCATTGCGCAAGGCATGGCTCTTTTCTGATCTTCTGGTGATATCCTGGACTGTTTTCGCCTCTGATTCTTCGCAGGCACGAAGTTTTTGCGTGAGAACATGATCAAGCTCAACCATGACGATGGAGATTTCTTGTCAGGTTTCGAGGTGACGTTTCCAATGATGCTCCACGAAGCAAAGCGGGTGGGCCTTAAGCTTCCGTATGACACAGAGTTCACGAGGTTGCTTGAGATCTCCACCACGGAGAAATTGGCAAAGTGTAATATTTGGTTTGAAAACGTTTGGTGTTCGTCCAGGATTCCTTTGGATAGACTCCATTCCACTCCCACCACGTTGCTATACTCCTTGGAGGGCCTTCAAGGTCTTGAGATTGACTGGCAAAAGATCCTCAAGCTTCAGTCCAAAGATGGATCCCTTTTTAGCTCGCCCTCGTCAACCGCATGTGTTTACTTGAAGACCAAGGACAAAAAATCGTTGCAATACTTGCAAAAAGCTATGAAACATCAAAACTATGCTGGTAAACCGGCTGTCTTCTTCAATCCTTTGTAGTAATTGACTATGCTGTGCAGTTTCTTGTCATTACCCTATTGATCTCTTCGAAAGTTTACGGGTGGTCGACACCATTGAGCGCTTGGGCATTGATCTCTTCTTCAGAGATGAGATCAAAGCCGTCCTTGACAACCTGTACAGGTACAATGCCGCTATACTTTTAGTACTTACTTTGGGTTTGCACCAGCTTCTGGACAAACGAAGGAATTGGATGGGGATCTACGTGCATAGTCAATGACATCGAGGACACAGCAATGGCCTTCCGTATCCTTCGGATGCATGGGTATAGTGTATCTCCAGGTACAAAAACGTTTTGTGATGGAAGAATCTAAATCTCGGAACTACGCACAGATGCATTCAACCAGTTCTGGCTGCCAGGAGACAAGTTTTGTTGCTTTGTTGGTGAATTGTCCCATGAGGTCTCTGCAATGCTCAACTTGTATCGGGCTTCCCAGGTTGATTTTCCGAATGAGGAGACTCTTACAAAGACTTTCAAGTACTCCCACGATTATTTACTTAATGTTGAAAGCTCTCACACATCGGCAACCAAGAAAAACCTCATGGGAGAGGTAATGAGATCTAGATAGCTTGAAAATCCAGATGTATCTATTATCTCTACAGGTCACAGTGGAGCTAGCAAATCCATTTCATGACTGCTTGCCGAGGATTTACAATAATGCATATATCAAACACTATAGCATTGATGATCCTTGGGTTGCTAAGACTATTTATCGGTAAGTGACATTCATATTAACCTTTATAACTTCCCTCTCTTACATCTCTTTTGTTAAAAGATTGCCCCTTGTGAATAAGAAAGTGCTTCTAGAACTTGCAAATCGGTATGCTCAACAATGTCAATCCTATCAACCTTCTGAGCTGAAAATATTGGTGAAGTAAGGAAAAAATAATTTTATTAAACAAAAAATAATTTATTGGTGTGTTTTTATTTAGATGGTGGCATTCATCACACTTTGAAGATATCCCTTCTACAAGATTTAAAGCTAATATTAATATGCTCCCCTATATTTACTATGTTATTTGTGCAACTTTCCATGAGCAAGAATTTGGCCCATTGAGAACTTTTTTTACGAAAACTTGCTGCATGACTACTTTATTTGATGATTTTTTGGATAGCGCAAAAAGCATTAGAGAACTTGATAGTCTCCAAAATATGATTGAAAGGTTATATACATCAATTTTAAAAGTTAAAATAACACTTTCTTTTTTTGTTTCCATCCAGCTGGGATACATCTTTTTTATCACAAAAAGAATATAAAATTATCTTTCAAGAATTTTATAATACCATTCTTGTTATGACTAAAATAGCTTCTAAAATAAATGAAAATCTATCTCTGGAATTCATCCACAAATACCTTTTAGCAATTGTAAGTATTTTCTATTCATTTTTTCTATGGCTTAATAGGGTTGTTCACATTAATATTTACAGTATACTAAGCTTATAAAATCTGGGATTATTGAAGCTCGCTGGAAAATTCAAGGATATATTCCAGGTTTTGAGGAGTATATGGAAAATGCTAAAGTTAGCATCGCCATTGCAACTCACGTACTTATGGGCATATTATTTTGTGGTGACCCTTTAACAGAAGAGTTATTAAACATCATTTATGATAGCAAGCTTCTTAAACTTGGTAGTATCATCTCTAGGATTTGCAATGACATCCAAACATATAAGGTTCCTTCTCTTCCTATATTTGACTTTTATTATTTTTAATCTCTTTCTTTATTTTTAGATTGAGATGAAACTAGGGGAATCAGCACAAGGAGTTTCATGTTATATGAAAGACCACCCAGGTGCAACTGAAGAAGATGCAGTAGCATACTTACAAAGTTTGCTTGAGAAAACCAAAAAGCAACTCAACGAAATCTATTTCACTGAGAAAGATTTACCCAAAAATATCAAAAGGTTTAGCTTTGATATGATGATGTTCACCTACAATAAAGCAAAGCAGGATCTCTTTAAAAACCCAAATAAAGAGCTTCAAAGCATGATTGAATTTTGTTTGGAAACTTAATATAACATATATATAATGTTTTTATAATGCATTTTAGCCACTAGATCATCTTGGGTTTCCTCAAACAAAACACTAATGGTTAAGAAAACATTTAAAGGAAAAACAAAAGGGTAAAGGAGAAAAACGCTACAAGAGAATACCTTCTGCATTGAAGGCTCAACTAAATACACCATTATAACAAGTCCTACGGCTTTTGCACTGTGCATCGGCTAGTAAAATCTTGGATTTGCCACAAGAAACCCCTACCACGGGCAAATCTGTCAGCATTTCCATCTGCGTTCAAATATTTAATTATTATTAAGAGAATTAAAATAATAAGCATATACCAGTATATACTAGAAACTAGGAATAAAGTGGTATATTCTCTAGTTTTCAAATCACTATCTAGAGAGGACCACACATTCCTTGCTTCGACAACACTATGCATTTTGAGAGCGTTTGATGTCCAGCAGCACAGAGAGGACGAGGATTGACCGCTTTTGCACCTGGTACTGAGATCTTGTCTTCTCTGGGTGTTAGGATACCCTAAGCCAACTAACTAAAGGACTTGATTGTGGATGATTGTCTGTGATTATAGTTAGGCCACCCTCCAGTCACCATGGTCCTTCTTTTAGAGTTTATCAAACCTTGGTTCTCCTTCTATATCCATCATGTTGAATATTCTTTTAGAATATTCTTGCCCCACTCGTCAGCCCCAATGTAGCAGTCAAATAGAGACTGCCTCCATTCATAGACACCGGCCAAGAAACCAGAGAAACCAAGAGAACCACTAGAACACATTACAGAACACCCCGTGCACTCACATCTAGTACCCATCACTTCTCTCCTCCTATCCTCCCTCTCAAACCAAGAACCCTCACTCGCCCACTTGCCATGTCAGCACTCGGCTAGAGCTCAACCAAACACTGTTATCACTAACGTCACCTTAGCCCATTACACTGATACCAATGTTAGGATTCTATCCCTTACACCTTAACTTAACTGATGATCACTTGATTGTAAAGCTTTTTCTTTATCCTATTATCCTGGCGTGGTGCCTAACACTGGGTGTTGCTGCTCGTTCTCCTTGCCGCAATCTCGGCTGGAGGAATTGCACTTCTCTTCCGTGGCATTGGATTCCACACCGCTGGATCGGCCTGGGATGGAGCAGCAATGGTGCTGGGGTTTCACTTCCAGGCGCCCCCAAACAGCAGCATCAGGATGATCAGTCCAAACGCCCCGGTGTTCTGCCGCGGATTCTACCATCTCTTCTACCGATTCACCACTCCATCGTCGTCCAAGAGCAAGAACCAGAGCTCCTGGGGCCACGCCATCGCCAAGGACCTCCTCCACTGGCCACGGCGCTGGATCCCAGGCCAGAGAGGTACGACGAGCAAGGAATTCTTGGCGGATCCATGACGCTTCTCGTCCAGGGCCCCGTAATCCTCTACACTGGAATCTCCAGCGATGGCGCCACCACACAGAATGCCGCTGTCCCGGTCGATCCAGGCGACGCCATGCTCAAGCACTGGAAGAAGATCGCCCAAAACCCCCTCATTCCAGCAGGAGGAGGGATGGCGATGAGAGATCCAAGCAGCGCGTGGAGGGATTCTTCTTGGCGGATCCTTCTTGGCGGCGAGAATGCCAGCAATGGCGTTGGATTCGTCTACTGGAGCAACGATTTCCTGGACGGGGAGTGGAAGAGGCTGGAGACACCACTGCTGCGAATGGCAGGAGCTGGGATTTTGGAATCTCCAGATTTCTTCCAGGTTCCATGGGCAGGATTTGCATCTCGTTGCTTTTAGCAAGGCCAGACTTTTTCGTGGAGTGGCTGCGCAGGAGCAGCGAGCTCGTTCTTGAGCTGGTGAAAGTGCTCCTCACACTCATGGTGGCGGGTATCAGAGGTAAACTTTTGGAGTGCTTACAGTCTCCCGTTTTGGACGTGCTGCCTTGGGAGATCAAGCAGAAGTTTGATCTACGTCCGAAGTTCTGGAAAAAGACCTGTTGGAGCTCATGGCGATCACAGGTGATCCTTTCCTCGTCTTGACGCGTCGAAGCGGTGGTCACGATAATGTACCGCGAAGTGTTGGCATCGAGCCTTCTGCCGGAGTTTTCAGCTCGAAGGGTTTGCAAGCCACGAGCTGTGAGCGGACAGGGAACTGGTCGAAAAAAGAGGAGGCACTGGTTGAGTTGCGAGCAAGTATGAAAGGAAAGAAGAAGGAAAACGAGTACCGAGGCGAGGCGAAGTCAGTGTTTAGCTCACTCGGCTTGAAAGACGGCAACTCTTACGTTCGAGCTTTCCTCACCACGGCGTGCCCGCTGTTTTATATCCTTTTTCTTTCCATTCTTTTGGCAACTCTTTCTTTCCTGCAGGCCTCCGCGGACGATTTTCTAGTCGACTTGAGCTCCGCGATAGAAATAATGAAAATGGGACTCGGTATCAGGCCAAAGCAAGAAAAAGCCCGGTGTTTGCTTCAAAACATGATCCTGTTCCAAGACAAGCTCGAGTGCATGACAGCGCTTCTAAATCCCAGGTGTGTACATTTAAAGTTCGAAAAGCAAATTAGGTGCTTACTCCTGGCTGGATGCTCGCACAGGGACGCCAGACACGAGCTCCTCGACTTGGCTGTTCTGCAAAAATCAGTCCAAGCACTGCGAGAGGAGCTCGAGAAAGGGAAGGAACTTCTGGGCGACCACGTCAAAAGGCTGCTAAGCAATCGCTGGGACTTGCGAGAGTGGCAATAAGCTTGATCTCATGTAGATAGTACCATAGAGCGAACTCCGTAAAATAGAGAAAACGTTAATAGCAAACAACTATAAGCAACAGAAACCTTAGCGATACTTGAAAAAAATATTAACTTAGCCACAGTTAAAATCACAACTTTTTACCTTTCGTTCTATTGATAATTACAGCACGATTCATTCCCAAGTTGTGTGTTTGACTCCTTAGATGAATAATTCTCGTAAATATCTGATACACTCTGTTTTGGTCCCACTAGGATTTCGTAGCTGCCATATAAACATAGCTTCTTTCTGTAAAACAACCATTAGATAATATCTTGTGAATGGAAGGTTCGAAGTATTACCAGCTCACCCACTCTCGGACCACTCACAATGTGAAATTCGAGTTTGAGATCGTTCCCCGTGAGCAAAGGTTTTAAATTTAACAATCCTGAAAAAAGTATTGAATATTGAAAACGAAAAAAACTACTACTTCTTACCAGATAAGCTGATGCTTTTTAGAATAGCGTTAAACACGTCTTTCTGCTGGACGCTAGGAGCTGGCACGGAGAGAAATAAAGCAGCAGCTGACAAGCAGAAGTCCCTGTCTCTGAAGGCTAGGCCGGCCTCTACTCGAAAACTTTCGTTGAAAAAACAAGGTAATCCTCCAGAAAGTGTACATTTGTTCAACTCATACCAATCTTGCACGAAGGTATTTCCAATTGCTTTGTACAATGCTTTCACCTGCTACACAAGACAGTTCAAGAGAGGAAGGAAATGTATAGAACGTGTACCTTTTTAAGCATTCCCTTTAATCCTATTCTCTCGGCCATCGAGCCCAAAACTGTATCGTTTTCTTTCTTGAATGGATAGAGAATCCCAGCAACAAGAACAAGACGCCTTTCACCTTCCTGCGTTGAGTAAGTTAAAGAGTCAAAACCAAAGTGTTCAGTGTAAGTACCTCAGCAATGTTGACAGACTCTAGAGTCTCGCAAACGACTTGAAAGTCCTTCACACTAGCAAAGATTTAAATGAGTTCGAGAAACGAAAAGGAGGGACTGAACTGACTACCTTTGCGCACTCACTGGCCTCGTAAAAATCAGAGGCCAATAACCAAGCTTGTGCAGCAGGCACATCGCCCGAGCAGGATTCTTTCCGAAGAGCATGGCTTGAATCTGAAAAACGAATGTAAGAGGCACACGAAAAATAAAAACCAAGAGATCGTATTCCACCTCCTGAGAAATGCGCTCCCTGGTGATCTTTGTTTTGAATGCAGCCTTCACAGAATCAGCAGATGCCACGCACTCCAGTTCCTCGTCCAGCTCAAAATTAAAGCGTGCCGCTGATCAGGAAAAAGAAAGGTAATTAGCTTCCAGATAGAATTCTAAGATGAAGACAAGTCGTCACAGACCAAACCGAATGGATCTCAGGACACGCAATGGATCATCTAGAAAAGTAACGAGCGGAGACAACGGCGTCCTGATCTTTCCAAGCTTGAGGTCCGTTACACCTGGACAACAAAGTTGTGGAAAGAATCGAAAGATGAAATCTACACAAACCTCGACCAGTGAAGTCCTCAACCTTGTCAGCGGCAACGTTGTAGAAGAGGCTGTTGATCGTGAGATCTCTCCGGTAAGCGTCTTCGGAAGGTGTTCCAAATTTCTAGCAAGAAGGAAAAGAGCGTAACAACAAGAGGAAGTCGAGTGAAAATCAACAGGGCCATAGTACCATTGATGTTGGGATCCTGGAATCGTTGGAGTACGTCTCGGATCGGAGATTAACAACATCAATCTCTCCACCCAGGATCTCCAGCTTGGTCGTTTCTAAATGCTTGGATCGTTCTGGATTGCTACAACATGTAAATTCCAGTTGTTAGAAAAATAACAAGCTCTAGACAACACAAACCTTTTGATAACTTTGTAAGAACACGAAGGATCGGTCTTCCTCAAGCACGGGACCACACGATCACAGAACTGCTGCCCAGTCATATCATCCAGCGCAATATCCAAATCGTGGCTCTCGACGCCAAGGAGCTGCGCAAATTGAATTGAGCTAGAACGATTGATCGAAAACACCAGACCTTATCGCGCACCCATCCGCCCGCCACTCTCACGTCGGTCTTCAAGTCGCATTCACGGATCGCCAGACGGAGAGCGTCGAGAATCTTCGCTTCCTCGCGCGTGAGCACGATGGTCGTCATGAGCTCTAGAACCCTAAAGGAAGATCCTTTGAGAATTAAAACTCCCGCCAAAACTCTAGTGGAAGCTAGGGTTTATTGGAGAAACTGTTCTCGTCACGCGGAGCATTGTCTACGTCAGATGCGTCATATGCAGGGCGATTTGATGCGTGACCCATCGCTGCGCGCGTTCAGATATTTGCGCGGAAGATCAAAGCGTTCTCCATTTTCCATCAGATTCTTGCCGACGATCTCACTCGGCAACAGCATGAGCTCTGTCCTGCCTCATTCGAAAACTTGCTCAAGCTTATCGGAAATGGTGAGCTATGTTTTTTTCTTTGGCGAAGTTTCTATGATGGATGGATTGTATGAACAGATGTTACGAATGACGCTATTGCCGAAGTTCCTCTTGCACGCTTGCTCTGTGGTTTCATCACGGCCTTACATCAGTGGTTTCGACGTGCTCGCTGACTTTTGCGAGAGGCTTTCAGCGTGCGGTTTTTGCAGCAAGGTACTTATCAAAGGGCTTTGTTTTCATTACAGAAATCTCGGATTTTGCAGCCGCTTTGGAAAGCATACAACCTCGCTCTCATGGTAATCTAGATCTGGTATGAGCCGTTTTGACACCCTTGTTGCATGCGGAAAAGCTGGCGAAGTTACAGAGGCTGAACAACCAGATGCAGCTCAGTGAAACAGGTGATAGATCTTGTTGCATATTTCGGGACTGACTATTGCTCAGTAACGGCGAAAGCAACAACCTTTCCAGGCATGCCAACCGAGTGTCAATGTGGTTTGGCCTTGCAAGGTAACAAAACGGTGCTTCCTTTTGTAAACTAGGTGTTCTTTTTCTGGCAGTGGACGTGGATTCCCATAGGCTGGACAAGTCGATGAGATGCTTAGATGTTTTGGTCCTGGCCAAGCACTTAATCGATATTTACTTACTCTCAAGCTCTCTTGGTGCTTGGGATACCTCGAGAGGGGTCTCCATCTCATGCAAGAGGCTTTTCAACGATGTGAGATCCAGAGCTTAGCCACTGTGAGCAACGGACTTCCGTGAGTTGAGGATTTTACGTTTTATAACATTCTAATATGCTTTTCTTTCTTGTAGAGCATTCTGGAGGTTCTGGAGCTGGAAGGGACGAGCGTCCGTGTGAGTTGGGCATCTCGATAGAGAGTTTAATTCCGAAGGTAAGGTATCTGCAGGGAGCGTGAGTGACAAATATTTACAACCTCGTCAATAGGTGCTGAAAACACTCTCGTTCAGCGACGTGATAAGTCTCTTCCGATGGCTTCTTCCCCTCAAAGGAAACGTCTGGGGAGGTATGTAAAGAAGTCTTACGAGTCTTCTTCGTGTTTACGAGTGTCCCTTGCTCGCAGCTTCGCCTTCTCCTGATGCTGCTCCGGACGCTTATCCGAGACAAATGGCCCAGCGCGAGCGGTGACTGGAGCTCCGCTCTCTTTTGGAATGGCTTTTAACGTCTCGAGCAATACACTTCTATCCAACTGACGGTGACAAAGCGACCAAGGTCATATGCGCATCAAAAGCTTCCGCGACCAGACGATTGTTGTTTCACTGACTTCGTTGTCCGGGTAGAAATCGCCGTGAATGTGTACCTCGGGGTGGTTTGGATGGAAGGCAAGGGCAAGACTAATTACACAGGTCTGCTTGCGCGTCCTGACAGGGAAGTGGAGGCTTAAGCCTCTTCGTGAGCAGGGCAAAACCGTTCGTCTCAGCGAGCCACTGTGGAAGCATGAGGTTGATATGGCGCGTTCCATTATCGAGTAAGCTCTTCGTGTCAATCAGGAACCGGAGGAATGGCATGCTTCTGCCTTGAGAGAAACTCTCTTAGGTTTTGAATACAATGGAATATACGAGAATAGTTTAAATGAGAATATACCTCCTGCACGACTACTATTTAGGTTTATACTCAGGCAAGCATGGAAGAACCTCCAAAGGTTGTATTGACAGAGATTGAGGAGTTTTGTTCGGGTCTACAGCCGAATCACGAAGGTAAGTATGTGATTTGATTCCAATTTTCACTGTTCTTATATTTGATATCTACCAGCTACTACTAGAGATGAAGAAGCCTACAGCAGGATGGATTTCAAATCTTTGCTGCCAACAAAAGAGGATCACGTAGGGAAAGGACTGGCTGGCGCTCTTCAATGTTTTCGAGAGAATGGGAGCTTGAAGGAATCTAGAGGCGAATGGATTGGAAGAAGCAGGGACAAAAGAACTCCAGAAAATGGTAAATTCGAATTCAACTTGGACCACCGCGATGAGCATGGCCGAACTGTAAGTTTTTGTTCTATTTACTTTCTGAATTTACTTTATGTTTGATGCAGCTGACCCCCAAGGAAGCCTTCCGGCAGTTCTCGCATAAGTTCCACCATGTAAAACCGGGGAAAAGGAAGCAAGAGAAGAAGCTAAAGAAGAGGAAGAAAGAAGAACACCCTCTGGAGTTTATGGAGAGATTGAGAGGCATTCAAATCAAGTCAAGAACAGCTTACATTAGAACTTGACAAGAAATTAACTTGTCAACTAAATGATTTTTAATAGCGTTGTATGAAAGCCCTTGGTGCAATTCTACTTGCACCAAGGGCTTTCATACACGCGGGAGCACTCATTGCAATGATGTACGGTAAAGGTGGTATTTGATTCCACCGCGATCCTTCTTCGCAAGCTTGTGATGACTTGAACGGGCATTTGGAGGAGGCCAAAAGACACGCTCCAAGGTCATCTGGAAGATGCAAAACGCATCTTTGACTGTACATCTAGTTTCAGGGACACAAGCATGGCATATGGAAGAGACATAAGGCGAAATAAACATCTGAGGAGATCTCTTGGAACAGCATTTTATTTCAAGCACTTGCCGGAAACTCCGGAAGAGACTTTGAAAAAAGGCTTAGGGGCGGTTCAAAGAAGAATTCGTCGAGATAGCCCAACTCGGTGGCCCATCTTTTTCCTGTGGGGCGAGATCTTTCAATGGCTTTGACGGACCATGTCGATGTCCACCTTTTTCAAGGGCCTCTGCTATTGACGATGTTAGCCTACAATTGCAGACCTGAAATTAGACACGAGAGGATTGACCATCCAATCTATGGAAACAGACGTGTGGAGGCAAAGGTATTAGCTTGCAATATAAAACTCTATAGGCTCCTGGGGATATTAAATTTTTCTTCAACGCTTCCCTGGATCCACAAACTTCAGCAGTGCTGGAAAAGCTTATATTCTAGCAAGAAGGCAAAGTTTTTGCAATGTCAAAGGTTTTGCTCAGCAGCTTTCAACGCACTGGCGGTGGAAGCCTCCAGTTATTTGGAGGCACTAATCTCAAGAGCAACGCACAGCCGAATCGGTTTCGGAAAGGTAAGTTCATCAAACTAGCTTCGCACTAAAACTGGCCTGCTATATTACTTATGCAGTTAGCTCCTGTGCTTCAAAGCCAGCTGAGGCTCTAGTAAGTCGAAGCACCATCGTTACAAGATTGATTGGAGCTGATTTCTTCCTACTTGTTGACAGGAGAAGCGGGAAAAGGAGAAGCAGCAGCCATATCAAGGCATTCTCCACGTCCAGGCTGGCGATCGAATCGAGGAGCTTGATCACAGAGAAACGTCTCTGCTCGTCAAGGAAGTGAAGGGATGGCTGATGAAACTCGCGAGTGGCAAGGGGAAAATCAGTCCTTCGACTTACGACACCGCCTGGGTCGCCCGAATCCCGTCCGACTCCGACTCCTCTCTTCCCGAGTTCCCGGAGGCCCTGGAGTGGATCATCAACAGTCAACTTCCGGATGGATCATGGGATGATGATTGTCACTTGCAACTCTATGACAGAGTGTTATCCACGCTCTCTTGCCTGATCACGCTCAAGCTCTGGGACATCGGGCACAACAGCATTGCGCAAGGCATGGCTCTTTTCTGATCTTCTGGTCATATCCTGGACTGTTTTCGCCTCTGATTCTTCGCAGGCACGAAGTTTTTGCGTGAGAACATGATCAAGCTCAACCATGACGATGGAGATTTCTTGTCAGGTTTCGAGGTGACGTTTCCAATGATGCTCCACGAAGCAAAGCGGGTGGGCCTTAAGCTTCCGTATGACACAGAGTTCACGAGGTTGCTTGAGATCTCCACCACGGAGAAATTGGCGAAGTGTAATATTTGGTTTGAAAACGTTTGGTGTTCGTCCAGGATTCCTTTGGATAGACTCCATTCCACTCCCGCCACGTTGCTATACTCCTTGGAGGGCCTTCAAGGTCTTGAGATTGACTGGCAAAAGATCCTCAAGCTTCAGTCCAAAGATGGATCCCTTTTTAGCTCGCCCTCGTCAACCGCATGTGTTTACTTGAAGACCAAGGACAAAAAATCGTTGCAATACTTGCAAAAAGCTATGAAACATCAAAACTATGCTGGTAAACCGGCTGTCTTCTTCAATCCTTTGTAGTAATTGACTATGCTGTGCAGTTTCTTGTCATTACCCTATTGATCTCTTCGAAAGTTCACGGGTGGTCGACACCATTGAGCGCTTGGGCATTGATCTCTTCTTCAGAGATGAGATCAAAGCCGTCCTTGACAACCTGTACAGGTGCAATGCCGCTATACTTTTAGTACTTACTTTGGGTTTGCACCAGCTTCTGGACAAACGAAGGAATTGGATGGGGATCTACGTGCATAGTCAATGACATCGAGGACACAGCAATGGCCTTCCGTATCCTTCGGATGCATGGGTATAGTGTATCTCCAGGTACAAAAACGTTTTGTGATGGAAGAATCTAAATCTCGGAACTACGCACAGATGCATTCAACCAGTTCTGGCTGCCAGGAGACAAGTTTTGTTGCTTTGTTGGTGAATTGTCCCATGAGGTCTCTGCAATGCTCAACTTGTATCGGGCTTCCCAGGTTGATTTTCCGAATGAGGAGACTCTTACAAAGACTTTCAAGTACTCCCACGATTATTTACTTAATGTTGAAAGCTCTCACACATCGGCAACCAAGAAAAACCTCATGGGAGAGGTAATGAGATCTAGATAGCTTGAAAATCCAGATGTATCTATTATCTCTACAGGTCACATTGGAGCTAGCAAATCCATTTCATGACTGCTTGCCGAGGATTTACAATAATGCATATATCAAACACTATAGCATTGATGATCCTTGGGTTGCTAAGACTATTTATCGGTAAGTGACATTCATATTAACCTTTATAACTTCCCTCTCTTACATCTCTTTTGTTAAAAGATTGCCTCTTGTGAATAAGAAAGTGCTTCTAGAACTTGCAAATCAGTATGCTCAACAATGTCAATCCTATCAACCTTCTGAGCTGAAAATATTGGTGAAGTAAGTGAAAAAATAGTATTATTAAACAAAAAGTAATTCATTGGTGTGTTTTTATTTAGATGGTGGCATTCATCGCACTTTGAAGATATCCCTTCTACAAGATTTAAAGCTAATATTAATATGCTCCCCTATATTTACTATGTTATTTGCTCAACTTTCCATGAGCAAGAATTTGGCCCATTGAGAATTTTTTTCACAAAAACTTGCTGCATGAATACTTTATTTGATGATCTTTTGGATAGTGCAAAAAACATTACAGAGCTTGATCATCTCCAAAATATGATTGAAAGGTTATATGCATCAATTTTTAAAAGTTAAAATAACAGTTTCTTCTTTGTTTCCATCCAGCTGGGATACATCTTTTTTATCACAAAAAGAATATAAGATTATCTTTCAAGAATTTTATAATACCATTCTTGTTATGACTGAAATGGCCTCTAAAATAAATCAAAATCTATCTCCAAAATTCATCCACAAATACCTTTTAGCAATTGTAAGTACTTTCCATTTATTTTTTCAATGGCTTAATATGGTTGTTTACATTAATCTTTACAGGGCACTGAACTTATAAAATCTGGGATTATTGATGCTCGCTGGAAAATTCAAGGATATATTCCAGGTTTTGAGGAGTATATGGAAAATGCTGAAGTTAGCATTGGCATTGCAACTCACTTACTTATGGGCATATTATTTTGTGGTGACTATTTAACAGAAGAGTTATTAAACATCATTTATGATAGCAAGCTTCTTAAACTTGGGAGTATCATCTCTAGGATTTGCAATGACATCCAAACATATAAGGTTCCTTCTCTTCCTATTTGACTTTTATTATTTTTAATCTCTTTCTTTATTTTTAGATTGAGATGAAACTGGGGCAATCAGCACATGGAGTTTCTTGTTATATGAAAGACCACCCGGGTGCAACTGAAGAAGATGCATTAGCATACTTACAAAGTTTGCTCGAGAAAACCAAAAAGCAACTCAACAAAATCTATTTCACTGAGAAAGATTTACCCAAAAATATCAAAAGGTTTAATTTTGATATAGCACGGATGATGATGTTCACCTACAACAAAGCAAAGCAGGATCTCTTTAGAAACCCAAATAAAGAGCTTCAAAGCATGATTGAATTTTGTTTGGAAACTTAATGTAACATATATATAATGTTTTTATAATATATTCCCATTCTATTAGATCATCTCAGGTTTCCTTCCTCAAACAAAAACCAAACCTTAACTAATGGTTAAGAAAACATTTAAAGGAAAAACAAAAGGGTGAAGGTCTGTTAGCCCTTTATGTTTGCCTCGACCTTGCCGAACATCTAGTTTGGAGATCCTTCATCATCCACATCAGGATTCGTTCACCAGCTCAAGGATAATAGAAGCAACGAGTAGTGAAACGTTTCAGATCTACAATTCTATCCTTCTACCGAAGATCTTCCTCCAAAACTGATGCAAAACTGAGAACTCAGGAAGCTACAAGAGAATACCTTCTGCATTGAAGGCTCGAATAAATACGCCATTACGACAAGTCCTACGGCATCGGCTAGTAAAATCCTGGATTTGCCGCAAGAAACCGCAAATCTGTCATCTGATAATAATGCGTTCAAATATTTAATTATTATTAAGAGTACCAGTATATACTAGAAACTGGGAATAAAGTGGTATATTCTCTAGTTTTCAAATCACTATCTAGAGCTCGCTTTTTCGTAGCTATGGCGGAGGAAGAGGAGGACCACGCATTCCTCGCTTCCACAGCACCGCGCATTTTGAGAGCGTTTGATGTCCAGCAGCGCGGAGGGGACGAGGATCGACCGCTTCCGCGCCCGCTACCGAGGCCTCGTCTCCTCTGGGTGTCGCTGCTCGTTCTCCTGGCCGCGATCTCGGCTGGAGGAATCGCGCTTCTCTTCCGTGCACCCGGCATTGGATTCCACACCGCTGGATCGGCCCGGGATGGAGCAGCAATGGCGCTGGGGTTTCACTTCCAGGCGCCCCCAAACAGCAGCATCTGGATGATCAGTCCAAACGCCCCGGTGTTCTACCGCGGATTCTACCATCTCTTCTACCGATTCACCACTCCATCGTCGTCCAGTAGCAAGAACCAGAGCTCCTGGGGCCACGCCATCGCCAAGGACCTCCTCCACTGGACGCATCTCCCCACGGCGCTGGATCCCGGGCCAGAGAGGTACGACGAGCAAGGAATTCTTGGCGGATCCATGACGCTTCTCGTCCAGGGCCCCGTGATCCTCTACACTGGAATCTCCAGCGATGGCGCCACCACACAGAATGCCGCTGTCCCGGTCGATCCAGGCGACGCCATGCTCAAGCACTGGAAGAAGATCGCCCAAAACCCTCTCATTCCAGCAGGAGGAAGGGTGGCGATGAGAGATCCAAGCAGCGCGTGGAGGGATTCTTCTTGGCGGATCCTTCTTGGCGGCGAGAATGCCAGCGATGGCGTTGGATTCGTCTACTGGAGCAACGATTTCCTGGACGGGGAGTGGAAGAGGCTGGAGACACCACTGCTGCGAATGCCAGGAGCTGGGATTTTGGAATCTCCAGATTTCTTCCAGGTTTCTGAGAGCAAGCACGTCGTCAAGGCGAGCTTGCGCGATGACCCAGCCGCCACCTTTGGATCCGACAGCTATGCCGTGGGGAGATACTTCTCAGAGAATGGGAGCTTTGTTCCAGACGACGACCCTGGAGCTGGAAGAACTCTTGGGCTCCGCTACGATCACGGCAACAGCTTCTTCGCCTCCAAATCTTTCGCGGACACTGCCAAGGATCGTCGAGTGCTCTGGGCGTTGCTCCCGAAAGATCCTCTCAGCAAGGTGGCTCGAGCTCCTCCCGTCCAAAGCATTCCTCGAAAGTTGTGGCTCGGTAGTGACGAAGATGAGGAGGAGCTGCTACTCCAGCTTCCAGTGGACGAACTCGCGAGCTTGCGAATCGGTCCCGGGATCCATATGGCCGATGTCACGCTGGAGCCGGGTGCCGTGATCCAAGTTGGAGGAGACGCTCTTCCGCAACTGGACGCGGAGCTCGTCTTCGAGCTTCCAGATCTCACCACCCAGATGAGCATGGAGAACTTCGACGTCGAGTTTAGCAGCACTGGCAACGCGGCCGCGCACTGCCGGAAGAAAGGAGCTCGAGTGAATGGTATCCTGGGACCGTTTGGATTGCTGGTGCTGGCCACTGGAGATCTCGCCGAGCACACCGCCATCTTCTTCCACCTCGGGAGATCCAGAAAGGGCCCTGTTGCTCTAGTCTGTGCCGATCACAGCCGATCATCACTGGCAAACCATCCCGAGGAAGATCTGTCCGCTGCTGCTTTGCATGGAGCCTTCGTCCACCTGGATGATCCAACCGTGTTTCGCAAGGTGGCGAAGGCGGAGGTGGAGGTGCTGGAGCTGCGAGTTCTGGTGGACAACTCGGTGGTGGAGACGTTTGGGCAGGGCGGGAAGATCAGCATCACTTCCAGAGTGCATCCAACGCTGGCAAAGGGTGACGCTGCTCGGCTCTTTCTCTTTAACAACGGCACCAACGCTGTCCGGTTGAAAAGGCTGGACGCTTGGAAGATGAAAGCCGCGGAAGCAACGCTCTTGTAACATTATTCTTGACACTGGTCGCACTAGAAACTTCAGAGAACCTCCTCGTGTCCAGGTGAGACAAGTTGGTTCTTCCATTCTGTAGCATAAACATCAAACGCAATCCTTGCAGGGAAGTGTTGTAGCTCACGTACCTGAGTTTACCATGATATCTTTTCAGGTGAAGGAACGAACTTCTTCCATTCTGTAACAGAAACATCACCGCAATCCTTGCAGGAAAGAAGTGTAGCTCACGTACCTGAGAGTATGAAGTTTACCATGGTATCTTCTGCTTGCAGTTCGCCGAGTAGAGCCTTCTCCTCTGCTCTTTGACAACCGCGGACGGGGAAGAATCGAGCATCTCAAACAGCTCCTCTGTCGTCTCGTCGCCTTCGACGTCGCTCCCTTTCATCCTGTTGCGGAAGTCGAGCGGGAACACGTTGCAAGCCACGTACACCTTGAGCAGCTCGTTGTAGACGGTGGCGTCGCCGATGAAACGGTAGTGGAACATGATCCTCTCGGCGCCATCGATGTCCCTCCGAGCAGCAAACACGGGCAGCAGCGCCATCATCGTCTTGTAAGCCGGACGGATGTGTCTCGCGGGGATCGCCGCGACGCCTTCTTTGAGCCTCGCCAGCGCCAACTCGGTGTCGCCGCTCGCAATGTAACCTCTCACCAGGCTGTTGTATGGAGAAAACACCGCCTCGTTCAACCTGTGCCTCAGGACGTGCTCCGCTTTGGCCATGAGCCCGTTGCTCACGTAAACTTCGACCATGACAGCGTGTGGATTCGCTAGACTTTTGCTCAAATCCTGCGCGAGCAGCTCCTCGAAGACCTGCTCGGCTCTTTCTACGTTCTTGACACGCCCGAAGGCTGCCATGGCGCTGAGGTAGCTCGACTGATCGCAAGCCTGTGTGCCGCTCAAGCTCTTCAGCCTGCTCCAGATATCTTCCACACTGGCTGCTTTCCCGAGATAGCCGCAAACTTCCATTGTCTCCTGCAGAGTTTTTCTCAGCGCTGCATCGAGATCGATATTTTTGACAGCTTCCTCTGCTTCTCTCTCGATTCCTTCCAGGCCACCACCGGCCTTGTCCTTGTAAGTGAGCAGCATCAAGTAAGTGTTGATACTCGGCTCCAGCCCGAGCTTGCACATTCTTTCGTACGTTTCCAGAACCTTGTCGTGCTTGTCCCGGTCCAAATACAACGCCATGAGCATGTTAAGGAGATCTGTAGACAGCACAGTCATCTGTTCGATCCATTTCTCGGACTTGGCGAGCGCGTTTCTCTTTGCGAGGCTGAAGATTAGCGCTGCTGTTACTTCCTCAGATCTGAAACGGGCTGGAATAATATCGTTGTAAAAGATTTCTGCTGCGTACGTAGATTGCTGCCGACAAGTTATAGCCATCTCCCAAATGTAGTGTGTTTGTGTAGTCTGGACCATGTTTTCCTCCCTGATACCCCTCAGCAGCTGTGCAAGAAGCAGTCAGCACACCAGGCGACAAAAAAAAAAAGATGAGTTTTTTACCTGTAGAATCTCTTTGTAGCACTTCCTCTTCGCCAATCGATAGTAGACTTTGGACAACAAGGAGCTTGAGAAGGTGTTACCCTCACGAACCCACTCTTTGAGGCCTTGAAAGATATCAGGCTTGGACAGCAGCATCTCGCAGAAGTCCGAGACGTCCTCGCTCTTGTAAGAATCAATGCTCTTACCCGCTTCTCCGACATACATCATCTGTGAGAATCTCGTCTCCGTTCCAACCGGCCACACCGGGAGCACCTGAGCATGCCTAGAGACGCTGCTGCTGCCGCTGCTCTCGCTGGAAAATGCGCGCACCCACTGGCGCCTTTGCCGCAGGAGTGACAACCAGCGAGACATTCTAAAACCCTATACCCTGCTGCTTCATTTGCCTCTTGAAGACCCCCTCTGGCGACATGTCGAGCTCCTCCAGCAGCTTCTCCGTTTCCCTGTTCCCCTCGACACCGTTTGCTTGCATCCTTTCCATGAACTCTCTGGGGTGGCGCTTGCGAGAGATGTAGACCTTGAGGAACTCGTTGTATACTCCGGCATCACCTAGCTTCGTGTACCTCCGCATCAGCTCCTTGGCACCCTCTACGTCGCCGTTTGCTGCGTAGACTGGCAGCAGCACCATCATCGTCTTGTACTGCAGCCTGATGCTTTTCGCAGGCACAGCTGCAAGACCATCGTCCAGCTTCTTGAGCGCCTCTGAAATGTTGTTCGCTGCCATGTAGCCTTGAATCAAACTGTTGTAAGGAGCGAAAGAGTCGCGGTCCAGCTCCTTGCTTTGCAAGATACGTTCCGCCTTCTCCATCATCCCATTGCGAGCATAAACTTCTAGCATCAGAGCGTGTGGATTCTGCTCAAACTTCGTAAACTCGTCCGATCCAGCTAGAAGTTCCTTGCAAAGTGCTCGAGCCTTGGCGACCTCGCCAACCAGTCCCAATGCAGTGATCGCGCTGAAGTAGCTGGACTGGTGGATATCACTTCTCGTTCTCTTCAATGATCTCCAAAGCTCCTCGATACCATCCTGTTTCCCGACGTAGCCATAAACTTCCATCGCATCGTTGAGCGTTCTGAGCGGCGGGTCCTCCACATCCATCGTCTGCACAGCTCCAAGAGCTTCTCCCTCGATTGCATTCAATCCACCGGCACCCCTGTCCTTGCACTTGAGCAGCATGAGATAAGTTCTCACGCTCGGCTGGAGCCCCAAGCCCCGCATTCTCTCGAACATCTCCACCACCTTGTGGTGCTTGTCCCTGTTGAGATAGAGCACCATCATCACGTCGAGGATGTCCGTGGTGTGGACCTGGATCTTCTCTAGCCACTGCTCGGCCTTGGCGAGCCCGTTCTCTTTCGCGACACTAAGAAACAGCCCGACTGTCACCCGGTCAGTCCTCAGCTTCTCTGGAAGGCTGTCGTAGAAACGCTCGGCTTTGGCCATTCCTCGCCGCCGGGAGATGACACCAATCGCCCAGACGCAGTGCATGTCGGTGAACTTCACCAATCTCTCGCATCGAATGCCTTCTAGCAGCTGAAAGGAATCGAAGTTTGAAGAACACAAGAAGCTATGAGAGAGAAAAAAGATGGATGGCAGCGTACCTTCATGATCTCGGTGTAGCGCTTGCGTTTCATGAGCCAGAAATAAATCGTGGAGAGCACGTCGCTGCTCAAACAGTTCCCTCTCCTCATCCATTTCTTCACAGCCTCGAAGGTGTCGGGCTTGGATTCGATCATCTCAAGCAGTTTAGTGATCTTGTCGTCGTCGATCGCCTTCTCCTGCTGCTGGGGGAATTCTCGTCGCAGGGATGCCTCCGCGACATTTGCAGTGAGCAGTAGATCGTGTTTCTCGTCCCTTTGAGAAGGCCGAGTACCAAAGAGTGAGCTTCTGGTGAAAAAGCCTGCGCTCGCAATGCGCTGCTGCCATCTAGAAGTCATCCATCAAAGAGTGAGAGGATTGCTAGAGATGCTTGCGGCCCTACCTGTGAGCGATGGCAGCCGATCGCAACAGGCGCAATGCTGCCATAAATCTTGTCAACGGTGTGGCAGCCGAAGCCTCGACTCATCGCCAGGAATCCATAAACCCTAGACTCCAAAATCGTCGGAATGCCTGAGAGAATCGCTCCTCCAGCTGCTGCACTGCCGCGCGCGATCTAGCACAGGACTCCCAGATTGCATCCATCGGCCTGGAGCAGGACAAATACCTCGCCAATCTGAGCCTTCGCGAGCTCTTCTTCCGCAAGAAGCGCTTCTCCTGGAGCATTATCATCTCGATCTACGCCCAGCAGCAGGCACATCTTCGATGGAATGCCGGATGAAATCCGCGATCACAGGCTACGACAAAAACGCTCTCCTCTCGTGGCTAGGGATTGAATGCCCCAGTGGAGCTCATGTGTTCCATTCCCGAAAGAATCGTGGTCTCATTCTTGCGGCATATACCCCACATGGGCATACAAGTGCTTAGAGTTTCATCTCTCCCAACGCTGTGAATGACAGTCGAGCTTTTGACTCTAGAATAACAATCATCTCCCACAACAGCTCCAGATTTTATACAGTGGACGGTTCAGATTGTAAATGGTCCAGTGTTTTTTTAATGCACGGTCTCTTTTCAGAAGAAAATATTGGAGCAAGGAGTGAGGAGAATGTAGATTTGATTACCTTAGATGCAGCGTGCGATAAGATCTTGAAGGGTTCCACAGCAACTTAGGCTCTCATGCTCCCACGAGCTCGTTGTAAATTCCACCATCGGCAGCGAGAGAGCTTGCGAGAGATCCACAGTGCAACACGCAAAATGAGTTCTCCATAAGTATTTGTCTCACCTGATGAATGAGTTGTTACAGAAACTAGCTTGGGATGTCTGGCATTGACAGTAACTCGAACAACTGCAGGAGAGAATGGCAGTTAGTTGCAAACTTCATGGAAAAAATGCAAACCTTGTGCGAATTGTTCGGCCTCATAGAGTTGCCAAGACAAAGTGCTCGTGTAGTCGTGGCTGCCACCTTGGGATTCCTGTGAGGCACAGCAAGGATTGCAGCTTGCAAGGAACCCCAAATGAACACCAAGTAATGTAGTACCTTGTAAGGATATAAGTTTCGTTATAAAACTCTCCACGTTCTGCAAAGATTAATAGTGTTAGAGCACAGAAAGTAAAGATTTTATATCAAACCTTAAGTTGATCCAGAGAAGAAAAGAACGGTAGTCGACGCTTTCTCCATATAGAGAGAGCCATCAAAATGTAAAACTGTAAGAGCTTCACGAGCGCATAAGCTTGAATAGACTAACCTCCTTTTGAAGCGAGCTGGCCACCCTGGAAATCAAGTAGAAAGGGTGTTTCTCCTTTAGCTCCAGAGTTGAGAAACTTAGTAACGATAAGGAAAAGCTTCGTATTGACGCCCACCCAGAGAAACTTAGTAACAACAAGGAAAAGCTCCGTATCGATGCTCACCACATTCCCAGATTTGCAAGCCTTGTGCAGGGATTTAGCGAGCCATTGTTTCACAACTTCCTCTACGAAAGCAAGCAATCCATTTGTCCAGAGTAAGAAATCTCGGAGTAAGAAAACCATGGCGCTGCCATGATATCTCAATTGCCAATCCCGAGCTCCCTGCAAGAAAAACTTTCATATCATGAATGATAACGATGCTTTGTACCTGCAAGTTGCAATGACTCAATTTGAACGGTGATAGGATGAATCGAATGTGCTTGATGAATATCAGCAGCTGATGCTTACAGGTCCTTCAGCTTTCCCTCCTCAATGAGCTCTTTCATGTGCCGCATTCCCAGAGCAATCAATATAAGTTAATAGAAACCAATATTCTCAACAGTGGCGTGTTCCTTTCCTGTTTCTTTAGAAACGAAAAATATTATGGAGGAGCGGAACAGGTCCAGTGCTACCCTGAGGTAACTACCAGCAAGTTGACAAGCTGCCAGACACGAAGAAAGATCAGAGTTTAGATCAAGCTCGTGTTCTACCTTACAAGTGCATTTTCTGCCTCTCTGTCGATTGAACACTGAAGTCCTGTACGCACCACCATTAGAAAAAGAGAAAGCAGAGCGCATATATTGCTTACGCTAAGAGTCGAGTGGTAAAAGCTAAGATTGAGAGTGACGCTCTCATGGTAGTTTTCTCTTCCACAGGCAGATAATGCATGGAAGCCTTGCACAATCTGATGGCTGTAGGATAGTCCTTTCCTTGGAAGAAATCATTACAAAATGCACCAAAATCAGCTCCAATATAAGGCTCCAGCCGGTTTAGGGTTTAGGGGACAAATTGGCGCAACAGCTTCTTGCTTGTTTTTAAATAAGAGGGGTCAAACAAAGAGGGTTTTACTTTCAGCTCTCCAAGAGAGCCATCTCATTACCCCTGCCTTCTGGAGCTTCCTGGGCGGCCTTGGCCGCCACCTTGGCTTCAACCACGTCCAAGAACATCCTTGCCAGCCGCACAGACTCTGTCCAGTCGGCCTCCAGCAGGTACGCGTCCTTGAACTCATCCCAAAACTCCATGCCAGGACGGGGATAGTAAGGATCATTGACAAAGAAGCTGTCAATGAGTGCACATTGTTGTTGTGAGGCTTGCACTGGTTGAAATCGAAGCAGGCAAAGCTAGGGTCGGAGAAGGTCCTCAGCTCGTCACCACCCACGACGAACTCGATGTCGCGACCATCCAGTCCTGGATTAAAGAAGTGCAAAAGTAACGCATGAATGAAACAGTACAAAGCTGAAAACACCTGCGAGGTGGTGGATCCTACCCATTTCTTGGGCCAGCGATTCGATCAGCAGCCAGCTCCTTGCAACGATTGGCATCCAGCGGGAAGTTATTGGCATTGAAGAATTGAGATGCCAGGCGCGGGCATTTCGCACCCAAGTAGATCCACGCGACGAAGGGCTTGGAGTAGCTAGAGTGGAGTGCAGGGAAGAACTTGGCCCTGATGGAATCCGGGGGACGGGCCAGACAAGCTGCATTGTGTACGCGGCGGGTATAGTTGGCAGCAGTGGCGAATCCATTCGCAGGTGCTCCACCAGTGATGCGAGAGAAGGGAAGAATTCGACAGGCTTGGGCACCAGAAAGAGGAGATTCTCTGCGCCCTGGCACGCCTTACTTATCTTTTGGTGATTCTCAAACTCATCAAGCAGCTCGGAAAAGCGGCTGGCATCTGCCAAGCACTTGATCGCCAGGTTGTTCATACGTAAACTGTGGCAAAGCTCCCCGCTCCCAAGTGCACGATCTAGTACCCTCTTGTGTCATTCTCTTCTAGAGTTTTCATCACCGTGTTAAAGTTGGTTGTTCCATTCCCGAAAGAATCGTGGTCTCATTCTTGAGGCATATACCCATCATGGGCATTTAGAGCATATAAGTGCTTTCTGGATATTCCAAGAGTTTCAACGTTGTGAATGACAGCCTCCTGAATAACACAACAGCCCATGCCCGAGAATTGCAGAGCTCAAAAAGATCTGCCCTAAATTGAAGTTCTGTGGCATTGATGTGCTAAGGATTTCTGCTTTTTGTTGTTCACATTATAAAGAGCAATCTTGCAGCATGAAGCAGCTGTTGTGGACTCTAGATTGTAAGAGCTGCTGGTCGTTCCTAAAGATGTAAGTCATGCTTAGCTTAGGAAGAGGAGAATTAACGTGTGTAGAACTCTTGCAGTGGCACTGGTCCCCGTGTTCTCATATGCTTGCATCGGGGGCATGTTTTGGAAATGCTGTGGTTGGAGATGAATGCCACTTCGTAGGCGGTGTGTACTATCTGTGGCTCTATTCACTGGTTTTTGTGTCAGGCAAACAAGAAATGTTCCTCTTCGACATGAAAACGCTAAACTGGACAGTTGTGCCTGTGGAACCATTCTTGTTTATGCCGATATTTTTCCACTGCAGTTCGGTGTCTTCATGATGCAAACTATGACGTCCTACTGTGTGCCACAGAAAGCAAACACTGGATTGTTCCATGTCAGGGAAGCAGATGGATTGGTCCTTGGGGTTTTCAGTGCTCCCGATGTAGGAAAGCCTTTAGTGGAGATTATCCAAGCTCAGATCACTGGAGTTAGCATTGTATATATGTGGGAGGAACTATGTTGAGAGTGGCCCTGTGCCACGTGGCTAGTCCACGCGGAGAGACACGAGTCTTCACCGGTTCACCGTGTCACACATATGTACATTTCCATTCCATATATGCTATGACGGACCATCACACGGTTTCACCTTTCATTAGATGGTATCAGAGCAATGCCTGGGAGAGCGAGAAGAATTCAAAACCATGGGATCAGGGCGACACTTGCTAGGGTGAATCACAGCCTCTGTCTAGACAGAGGCGTGCCCTAATCCAATACTCCAGGCCTTGCAAGAGGCACTGGACGACTAAGAACCTGGACCTAGACTTGAACGAGTGGTGGGATTGGGTGTCGATGGCAGCCACTGTTCCTACAAATCCGCCTCCAAATCCACCACCTATTTCCCCTCCGACTGTGCCTACAGCGGATATTGTTTCAGTAGACGCGAATCCACCAAAATTTGATGGGAGGAACTGGCGCTTCTGGAAGACAAAATTCGAATCCTAACGAGGCCTCTGGGACATCACCACAGGAACGGAAACACTTCCAGATATTACCACAAGGACTAGAGAGCTTTGGGCAAATTTCACACAGTGCTGGAGGGGCGAGAATTCCATTGCATTAGACAGTGCAAGAGTGCAAATGAAGCGTGGGAGGCCATGAAGCAGACTTACCAGATCCCTTCAACATCCCATCGCATTTTTCCACAGAAGCATGGTGATAGCTGAAGGGGATGACCTCAAGGATCATCTTGCTGCTGTGCGAACAATCCTAGATGATCTTAAGGATGTGGGAGCAAACATAGAGGATGAAGAAGAGGTAGAGCTGCCACTCGTCACACTTCCTCCATCGTTGGCAATGCTCAACAGCTTTCTGTGAGAGGAATTAGTGTTGAGAGTGGCCGTGTGCCACGTGGCTAGTCCACGTGGAGAGACACAAGTCTTCACTAGTTCACCCATTCTATATATGCCATGACGGATCTTGAGCACCATCACACTGTTTCACCTTTCATTAGAAACTAATCTTTGGTGCTCCAAATATCCTTGGCAGTGGTCAACATGACCTTAACCTGCAGTCGGAAGAAATTCCTTTCCCAAATGAAGTTGCCACAGTTAGGGTTGAGAGATGCTTTAACAACTTTTTCATACAACTAAATGTTGACGAAATTTTTTCTTTCTTCTTCCTTGCTCCTCAATAGCTGCTCTTGATATCTCCAACCATAACTTCATAAGATAATAATTGTTGATCTAGATTCAGGTTGTAAAATAGCATTGTAGCAAGAAGAAATTTCTTAGCTCTAGATTTAAAGTGACTCTCACTTTTTATTGTTAGGAGTGACTTTGTC